GTGGTCGGAACTTGGCGTCTCATAGGGCAACACAAGCTTTGCACCCCGGATTCCAAATTCTGCAAGACAACCTGTGCACCATCAAAGGCCATGTCAGGAGATCACCTGCTGCTCCGGGAACTCAGTAACTTTGATTTATTACCTCCTCTGATTTGGTTGATGTACAACTACCTCAGCTCCATCATGTCTACAATTATGATACACATGGGCCCACCCATCTATATTTTATACCACCCTCGGCCCACCCATCTAATACAACATCCCATACAACACCCTCGGCCCACCCGTCTAATTAATATGCGTCTGGGCCTACCTGTCTAATACAATATTTTATAATACCCTCGGCCTACCCGTCTAATTTAATATGTGTCTGGGCCCACCCGTGAATGTGATAACAAGTACCTACCCATCTATCTCATACACATCTACCTTAATACACCCATCTGCATAATATCCAACTACCTCGGCTCACCTGTCTACCTAATATTCATATACATCGGCCCACTCATCTACTCTATATATTCCCTGCATGGGCCCACCCGCCTCCATCGGGAATAATTTCCCTCCTGGCCCATCCGTCATAGTCGAGGATATTTTTATCATGGGCCCATGGTCCACTGGCCCGTATCATACGGGATATTATGCATGTCCGTTCCCTCGTATTATACGGAGATAGGTCACTGTAATATGTGCCAAAGGAGGTGTAACGGGATGGGTGTTGGCCTTCATCTGTTGACAAGTAGCACAACCGTCAACATACTTTCGTATGTAAGTTCCCATACCGGGCCACCAAGCTTCGCGTTTCACGAGTTCTTCGGTTTTGAAACGTCCAGGGTGACCCGCCGTAGGGTGATCGTGATATCGAAGGAGAATGTCACGGCGAAGGTTGGGCGGAATATAGGCTCGGTCTTTGTAAAACAAGATATTGGAATCAATTTTCCAGTCATTAAGTGCTGATTTCATGGGAGGGAGACAGATTCCGTTCAAGGTGTCCATGGCGGTGGAGAAGATGGGGTCTTCCAAAGGGTCAGAAGCTGTAAGTGCACTGCGAAGGTCTTCGTCGATAAGGCGGATAAACATGGAATCAGGAAGCAGGATGGTGTCTTCGTTATCGGAAGCTCCATTATCATGGTCCGATCGTCGGGATAAAGCATCCGGTACAGCTAATTTTGTACCGGGGACATGGTGGAGTTCTAAGTCAAAGGAGGTAAGAAGCATCTGCCAACGTGCCTGTCGACGCGTTAATCGTTCTGCCTTCCTAAAATAAAGAAGGTTCAGATGATCGGTGAATACCACGACAGGGGAGGGGTGTCCTTCTAGATAGTGTCTCCATTCCATTAGGGCTCGGATAATAGCTAACAATTCCCGGTCGAAAATCTGGTAGTTTCGTTCTGCTGGGTTAAGGGATTGGGACAAATATGCACAAGGGTGATAAACACCGTTTTCATCTGTTTGTAACAGAACTCCTCCTGTTGCAACCAACGAGGCGTTGGTAGCAATGGCAAATTGCTTGAGTGGATTGGGGTTTCTGAGTACAGGATGGGTCGTGAAACAGATTTTAAGACGATCAAAGGTTTGTTGGCAGGTGGGGTCCCAAAGGAAAGTGGCGTCTTTCTTTGTTAAGTCGATCAGAGGTCGTGCTATATCGGAATAGTGGGATACAAAGGCGCGATAAAAGTTGCAGAATCCTAAAAATGATCGAACTTCTTTAACAGAAGTGGGTGTTGGCCAGTTCTTGATTCCGTCTGTTTTAGCTTTATCCATTTCCACATGCCCAGGCTTGATGACCATTCCAAGATATTCGACTTCGTTAGAATCGAAGGTGCATTTTTCTGGTTTCAGGAACAACTTCTCTTGTCTGATCTTTTCCAGTATTCGTCGAGTCCGCTCTTGGTGTTCCTCAAGTGTTTTTGAAAAGATTAGGATGTCGTCCATGTATATTACCAGCCATCCCTCATTGATCTCCGGTCGGAATTTGTCATCCATATATCCTTGAAAAGTGGCCGGGGAATTGCATAACCCGAAGAACATTACTGTGGGTTCAAACAGTCCGTGCTCCGTGGTAAATGCAGCTTTCCATCTATCCGCGGGATGAATGCGGATATTGTTATAACCAGATCTGATATCCATTTTCGTGAAGAAATTTGCACTGTGTAATCGTTCTATAAGAGTTGACGGGAGTGGAAGAGGATAGGAGTTTTTTATAGTTTGATCGTTAAGAAGTCGATAATCTTGACAGGGTCGTAGTTCTCCGCTCTTTTTTCCTACAAAGAAGAATCCACTTGCTTGTGGGGATTTTGATTTTGTGATAAATCCTTTAGCAAGATTCTCATCAATAAATTTCTTGACGGCGAGTCGTTCTTTCGGAGATAAAGGGTATACTCTGGACGTTCTTGGGAGGAAGCCTGGTTTCGTTTCGATACGATGGTCTATTCCGGGTCTTTCCGGGGGAAGTTGGTTTAATCCGTCTTTGGCAAACACATCCGCGTAATCATGAAGATAGGCGGGCACGACTTCTTCTTCCTTTCCTTTTCATCAGTGGCAAATTCCTGTGCTTTGTTGCTGAATTTTGAGAAAGTGGGGGTTGTTTTCTGTTCGGATAAGGATGTTCCATCTTTGGTGAGGGGAGTGTCAAGGGATATTTCTTCTATTACCCTCATAAATTCTCCATTTGCGTCGTACTCCACCAGGAATTCTCCATCGTTAAGTTCATAGGTGGAGATGTCGCATACTGGAGGGGCAATCCATACATCTTCCTTTGTATCGAAGCATTCATCTTCTTCCATGGGTATCGGAGGGGAAATGTCTTCCGGAACGTCTTCAATTGAGGCGGAGAACTTTGATGGTTCTTTTCTAAGTTTAGAGTTGACCCATCTTGGTTCTTCGTTCGAAAATATTTGCGAAGTTCTTGACTTTCTAACGCTTTCTTCAATTTCGATAGATTTTGGGGTGCAAGGAAGGGAGAGAGTCTGTTCGGTCCAATTAATGGAAGGATTCATGGCTCGAAGCCAAGGGATTCCAAGGAGGATTTGGTCCTTTCGTCCTAGTTTCGTGATGTTAAATTTTCCCATCATGGTTCGTTCATCAATTTTGATGATAAGGACGCAGTATCGTTCTACCGGTCCACTGCTGGAGTAACTTCCGTCCGCGGTTTGAATATGGAATGGTTTATCCAATCTTCGAGATCTAATTCCGTGTTTCTTTACAAAGCTTTCGGAAATGTAGGTTCCGGAGGCTCCTGAATCTATCACTGCGCTTGTTTCGACATTCTGACGTGTTCGAGAAATGAGAGAAATGGGAACACGTAGTTCCTTCTTTTCACCAATAGCTCGTATAAGACGTACAGGTTCTTCTGGAGACACTACAGTCGACTTAGTTCTCCAATTTAAAAATCCTCTTGAATGTGTCTCGTTTCTTCTTCTTCCTCGAGTTTACGAATGAATGGGGGTCCTTTCTTTCTTTGAGGGCATTCCTTGGCACGATGCCCTGTTTGATGACAAATGAAACATTTGCCAACACGCATGTGTTCTTGGCGGTCCGCTTCGGTAAGCCGATCAATAACCATGGCATCACGGTCTCTGTTTGGGACATATCTCTGGTCTCCAAATCTTCTTTTCTTTTGCTGCATGGGGATACGAGATCTGATGGATTGTAGCTGCATGTAGCAGTTATCCATATCTACCACGGCTTCGACGAAGTCATCAAAGGTCTTTGGGACTCCTCCGGCATTGAATAGTTTGACGAGTAATCCAGGGTTAAGTCCTTCTTGAAAATGGAATATTTTGGCGGATTCTTCCTTTATCTTTGCTTGGGCGATGAGTCTTTGATAATCGGCAATATAGGTCTGGAGATCTCCGTTTCCTTGCTTAAGGTTTCGAATTTTCGCCATAGCCGTTCCCGATGGATCAATAGAGGAGAAGGCTTTGTTGAATGATTCCAAAAAGTCCTTCATTGTTCCGTATCCTTTCTTTTGTCCAGAGGAGTCAATGAATTGTGCGTCCTCAAGGAATTCTTCTTTCCATAATCTGGCATTTCCTTCATTCATGAACGAAGTGATGAAGATGACACGTTGTTTGTCGTCTTTGTAAAGCTTGTCGTTGATGTCCATGTAGGCATTACAAGAGAGGAGGAATGATCTGGAAAATTCTCTATCTCCATTGAAAATGGGGGGAGGGTTGATCTTGTATTCAAATTCTTTGGTGGTCGATGCGGTTGACATGTTGAGCGGTGGTACAAGAGTACCGAGGTTCAGGGCTCGGAGTTGTGGGGTGAGTGATGTCAGTTTGCTTGCCTGCACTAGCTGTCTTGCTCAGCCAGGTCTTTTCTTCTTGGTTCGTTCGTTTCTTTGACACACACAGATAGGTGGTGTCTATCGACTTGAATCTTTTGTTACGAACTAGGATAGTTCTAACAACGACAACTTGACAGAGTTACGTTCGTTGAGATTCTGAGCCTCTTCAAACAAGAGAGGTTTCTAGGCTTAGTAGAAGGAGTGCTTCCACTAAGAATCAGGTATCAGACGACCTAAGATTGGGGATCTTAGGCGAGAGATGTTTCAGGTAAAACCTAGTAAGATTCAAGTAAAGAATATAGTAATAGTACATGTGCTTAAATAGGTCAATATGTGCGCACAGACCAAGACAATCGTGAGATACAAGATATCAATCAAGAAAGGAAAGCATGTAGACCAAAATAGGTAGCAGCGATTGTAACACGTACATACCCAAAAAACTGGCTCTCGATTAATGGCTGTAAAGCGGTTCAGTGTGGGCAGATAGGTGAGCCGTTGAACATGAGAAAATAATGAGCCGAAGATCTGGACAAGCAAAAAGATGCGTAATGAGCTTAGCGCGTATGCGATGAAATGGGGAAGCTTTACTTGGGAGTTAGAAGAAGAAGGAGGGTACTCTGGACAAGTAAAGAGATGCGTGATGAGCTGAGCACATAATGGCGAAATATGTGTGCCTTGAGTCGCTAGAATAGGACGAGAGTAGCGAAAGTCATGGATTGGAGTTTGGTGCAGTAGGTGATGGATACCAATGGCCATATGAAGGCATGGGGGCCAATGCGGCTGGAGGAGGCGGGAAGGGATTTGTGGTAGGTGGAGGGGTTGTCTTGGACGAGGAGGGAAGGATATAAGTCAGGTAAGGTCCTTGACCTGCGAAATCTTTCTTGACCATGTCTTCGAACTCCCTAAGTGTTACCGGATCCACATTGAGTTCCCACTCCAGATACTGATACATCTTGCGCTCCATCTGATTGATTTCTCGCAATTGGAACATACCCTGGGCTACAATACTCCAGGATTTGTTGGAGTAAGTGTTGTCACAGATGACCTTGGATGCGAGCATGAAAGCGGATACGAAAAGACGGTGACCCGAAGATCCCCAAGCAGTGGGGAAGCGTGCTTTGAGAAGCTGGAAAGGTCATGGATTAAAGTTTGTCAGTGTGGTGAGACGCATATGCGATGAAATGGGGGAGCCTTACTTGAGAGTTAGAAGAGGAAGGAGGGTACTCTGGACAAGTTTAAAAGAGATAGGTAATGTCAATGAACCATTATTACTAATGTAACTGTAGTGAATGTACAGTACGAAGAAACATGTCAGTATCCACAGTATCCACAAGAAAATAATCTCCATCATGAGCAAAATCTGGAACGAGAAGAGCACCATGAATGATGGAATAAAGCGTAATAAACTCAGATGAAGAAGCGGGCCGTGCGCGAAGTCGAGTTAGTCGCAGTTCTCGATCCATACGCCGACGTGGGCCAATTAAGGCATCCATAGGTAGAACGAGCGCGAGATCTAAGGTACAGCTGCCAACAGTGTGCTTAAACATGCATAATATCTTCACAAATATATTTTTGTCGCGGCCGTCCTTGTCCAGTGTGCGTATTAGAGCGCAGTCACGCCGTTCTTTGCCATGGAAGCTTGGGTTGCATCGCAGGTAGTCAGTAGCTAGCTTCCAGTCAGCGGTAGACTCATAATGCACTTTCAAGTATCGATATTCATGGATCTTTCGACATACAAAGTCAGATTCGAGTAAAAGCGAGGAAAGTCAATTTACCTGGTCTTGTGCTGAAAGTTTCAACCACGTTGTTCCTTCCGGCAGCGGTATGTTGTGAGAGGGAAGGAAATGGTTGAGAAATGTTGCGAGTTTCTTCCGGAACTGGTGAAACGCACGAATGGACTTGTTTTCTTCCTCCACTTGCGAAAGGGTTGTTTGATTCTTGAGGGGTGAACCGATATGAAAATGTTCTTCAAATTTCTCATCATCCAAGTCCGTGTCCTCCAGTTCTTCCTGCAAAAGCATGAGTTTGCGTCGTTCCTCATCAAGGCACTCGATACGACTGCGAATAAATTCAGAGACAACACTCTTATGGTCGAGCTCAAGGATCTATGTTACACGAAATGAGTGGTATGGAGCGACTCATTGAGAGTTAGAATTAAAAAGCATGAATGTACCTGATCAGCAATATCCTTACGATTGGTCTGCCGTAGATACCACCATTTGATCGGTCCATGTTGCTTCTCATTTGGTCGAGTGCTGAAGTTCCGAGCGGCACCTTTCACCATGATGTCATCAAATATATGCTTTCCAGAGTGAATCTTTGGAAAGTTCCAGTTCTTGATCGTGTCCGGATCAGTCTCCTCAACGATTTTGATGTAGTCCTGAGATATCAATGATAAGTGAATTAATACTAACGACAATTTGCAGAACTGCTATGACGTACCTCTAAGCGCTTCTGAAACTCTAACACCTCTGCCCTTCCCGCAGCAATCGTGCTTTCAGTCTGCACGTCAAGTGAAATATACATGTCGATATGTAGGTAGCTCGCTATACACCGTAGTAGTGCATAGCCAGCTTCATCCGCTGCACGTGTGAGTATGTTCTGTGCGGCATACAAAACTTGCTATGAGAAGAGTAATTCGTTAACATGAGAACTGGTAGCCACGAAGTCATATCATACCCTGGAGATATCCCGAAGTTTGTTACTGTCGCTGTAAGTAATATTAGTAACCCAATCAAAGTGATTAAGATTGCGCCATCGTGGGAAGGTATCGAACCTGCGAGCAATTAAATAGGGTTGCTAACATGTAGTCTGAACAATTACAACTCACTGATCATCCAGTTTCTTCTCGTTGCTGCGTCCAAGGGCTGCAATGCGTTGTTTGAGCTCGCCGAAGAGATGTTTCCACTGACCCATATGATATACATGCAAATGGTCCTGCAAAACCGTGTCATGAGGATCAGAATTTGGGACTTTCCAGAAGACGTTCTGTAAGACATGATTAATGGGGGACAATAATTGGTACATTTGATTGCAAGTGCTGACCTTAATAGGCCGCAGGCCCTGTTTTTTGAGTGCGCTTTCTCCAGCTACACGGTCCCTAGTCCATAGCTCCACCAAAGCTTTCGTGTCATCAGATGATCGAGTCGGATAAGTGGAAGCGTTATCGTAGAGCTTGTCTGAAGGGACGAGGCAGATAGGACAGGGACAGTGACAATTGGTTCCCCGTATCAGTGCCATCACGCACCTAAGATTAGATTAGAAAACCATCAGAAAAAAGTATGAAACGACGTTACTGCTCCTCATAATCAGCCGATAAGAGCAAGATGAATGCATACAACCATCTCATGACGCCGTCATAGCATGTATATGCATACCCTGCCTTGGCATAGATGATGATGGTTTCGAGCAGCTTGAAGAATGCCTTGTGCCATACGACACGTTTGAGATTGACATATGAGAGCTTTCCGTCTTCCTCAGAATCGTCAGGAACCTGCACAAAAGAACTGTTTCGCGCGAAACTCAGAACTAACACTAATTTCACTTACTATTGGTAGCCAGCCAACCATTCACCCACCGCCAAGTCCATCCGTGTTCCTGATATTGACAGGCAAGTTTCCGCATCGCACGAAGACAGGGTAGGCTTTGACTGTACCGGCAGAAGATAGATGAGTTTTGTCCGCATACAATATAAATGCGAATGGGACGCCATTTTCAGGTAAAGACGACTGTGAATTCAATATATAAAGGGTATCACTTAGTAGAATCACAAATGAACAATAATACAAAAAATATAGCATACTTGAACGTTCCACCAATGGTCTCCAGTCCAAGGTTCATGTACAAAGCGCTCGTAACGCATCCCGTTGTGCTTGTACAATCGCTGTGCATCCCAAACAAAATGGGGTGCCAGTAGCGGGTCCTGTAGCAAGTCCAAGGCCCAGTCCCACAATGGCCGTGTGTATACGTTGTACTTGAGGTCCTCCCGCTTGTGCTCAACAGTAATGGTATGCTTCTCGAACTATCAAAGGAATGTCTAATACGACTGTAAAAAAAGAAAATCGTGTTCTTCTCTCACAGGTGACATTTGACTGGCAGCCCTGTCCCAGGCTTTTGAAACATCACCATGGGACTTGAACGTGAATTTCACTTGGCCATCAGCAATTCTCCAGATGAGCCGCAACAGCTCGTCTGTTTGATTCTTGTTCAAGGCAGCCTGGTGTGCGAGTTTGGCGAACTCAAAGTCCGCACGACAAGCAAAAGGCTGCCAGGGTTCGTTGTCGACGATAGGCGGCAGCTGATGCTCCTTGCGTCCAAAAGTGGAGAACGACTCTACAGAAGTCGCACGGCCACTGTGTGGGTGGTATTCCGTCTTGAAAGTATCGAGATTAGGAGGAGCTGAAGGCATGATTGGGAGCAATGATAGGGTGGTACACGCGGGGATGCCCATGCTTGTATCTGATTCTGAACCTGTAATTAAGATTTCAGAAAGGGAGCGCATCACGAGTCAAAATAATACATACGTTGACGTGCATCTGAATCTCTACTGATGCTCATTGCATCGGCAACATCTGAATTCCCTTCAAACAATGGACCTGCAGTGAAGTCGTCAGGCTGTTGATCTTGCTCAGGCGACGAGTTCTTTGTGCCATCCGGGACCATTCTCAAAGGGACCGACGGCGCTGCAGCAGCGACAACAGCAGAAGCCATTGTTTGCTCCTTACGATGCCGTCTTTTCTCTCGACGTGCTTCTAAAAATGATGCGAAAAGTATTATTAATTAGTACACTGATATCAACAAGACGATATGTCAATGAAGACAGAATTTAATCGACGCTTACCTTTCCTTTGCAGCTCCTCCTCTACTGCACGCGCTGCAAGTGCCGCGAAATCCTTGTCATCATTCTTCTTATCCCGTCTTCTCAGACACCCTTGTTCGTGAGATTTGATCCCGCGCGCCGAGTATGACTTGTTACAGTACTGACAATCCACTTGGTTGTTGGATGATGTTGAAGCAATATATTTATGTCCCCGGTTCGTCGTGTTTCGGTTGGGGGCCATGCCACAAGAGTAGTACAAATTAAAGATATACAGCCTAAGAGACGCAGCTAAAGATTCAAACACGATGATGGGAGGAGTCGGATCAATGAGAAGCAATGACGTCGACGAAAGATTATCATAATAATCTGACATAATGAATTGCGGTTGCAATTATCAATAATCACCCGGCACCATTAGAATCGCTTGTAAGTACTAAGAGCCTGCTTGCAAGTGAGTAAAATAAGTCACGCTCCCTGGGAATTTAGTTCCAATGTGGTCCAAATAGCGTCCCAATATGGAACGCTTGCAAGGCACCCCTGGAAATTTCCGACAATAGGTCCTGCTCCAGTTTCGTCCATTGAGTATCTAACCTTGTGAATGTGTAAATGAGTATCGGGTTGTGATGATTGAGGCTTCCGTGCCCGAATAACGACGAACGACTTTCCAGAATCCTTGGGAGATGAACTGCCTTCAAGCTCCGCCTCACTCACCCCGCTGTCCAGTCAATCGCCCTCGCTGTGCCTACGATTCCTTCGAATGTTGTACCAATGTCTCTTCTTTGGCTGGTCAGGATCACTGTTGTTCGATTCCCCGCTATTCGTCTTGGTCGCCATCGAAGGATGCTCCTCCTGGCACTGCGTAGGAGCATTTACAGGTGTTGCATTCAATGCATCCCCAATAGTAACTGCTGTTTGACTCTTGTTGCGCATGTGTGGCAACATTGCTCCAGTAGGTAGTCCAAAGCCCATGAGCGCAGGAAGGCGCGCAACATTCGCTATGGAAACAGTTGGAGTAGGTAGTTCTTCATCGTCATAGATTGTCTTCGTTGGTGTGCCAACAGATAAGGCTTGCAGTCGATCGAGTTTCGCGAGTACACGCTTTAGGAATCTGCAGGTCTCCATCTCATCGATAGGGTGGTAGGCAACCAAGGCAGTGCGACTGCCAAAGATGCAGTGGCAATTCTTGCGGAATGAGCGAAAGTGTTCGCCGTATTGGAGATACTAAGTCATAGTTTGCGAATAGCCCATAAGTTCCGGCTCGCCACTCATACTAGGAGCAACCTGACGGTTAGAGTATATAGAACTCTTCTTGTCCAGCATTTCCACCGCACTTTTGACGGAGTTCAGTGCGACGATGTGCATACCCCAGAACACTGATATGCGAAATATCACCTGCGCACTGTGCACAAGGACATGAAAATACATGGTTTTGGAAAAGCGGGAAGCTTTTACCATAGTTCTTGCCCATTCAGTGAAGGTGAGCCAGGCTTGACCAATGACCACCACATACTGTCATTCTAATGTATTAAATATGATACTGTCACAAGGAAAACCTTCGTCTCAGGGCAAAAACTCCAACGTGTCACGTGACGATGAAAGTCACGTGCTTAGCAAAAGGTCCCAAACGGTCTGACCGTTTGGACCATTTGTAAGCCTCCCCTTCCCATGGCGCAGCTGCCCGACTCTGATAAGGGAAATACCAAAGGGATAAGGCACAGAGGTTAGACGCGGGTCGGATCCGGACGATACATAGAAGTCGGCCGGATCCGGAAATCCGGAAATGATGAGTGTGATAGGTCCGGATCCGGAATGCGGGATATGACAGTGAGACTGGACACAGATATCTTTCAAAAGTTTGTAAATCAATTTGTTTGTAAATCAAATTTATTGTAGATCAAATTTTATTGATCTCCCCAAATTTCCCAAGTCCCGAGTGCCGACCCCCGACCCCCAAGACCCGGCAGTCCACAATTTCAGGGTTCGGGGGTTGGTAAAATCTCAGGGTTCGGGGTTCGGCACTGAAAATTTGACATTTATATTTTTGCAAGTGTTGTGCTTCTGGTGTCCGTGTGTAGAAATAGGATATGTTGCACACCAGGGCTCAGGTGTGGGGTTTTCCCACTTCAGTACTTGATTATTGGTCAATGCCACACATGGTTGATTCATGTTTTCGTGCTTACAGGTTTAGATTTTGGTGGTCGATGGTAGGTATATGCACTCATAGTGTGCATGTATCCTATGTGTTTGATTCGCTGGTGGCCCACCTGTCTATGTAATAAATAGTTTATCACACCCTCGGCCCACCCGTCTATTTGATATCCCTTACGTCGGCCCACCCATATATGTAATACGCCCCACGTCAGCCCACCCGTCTATGTAATATTCCCCTACCTCAGCTCACCCGTATATGTAATGCACCCCCGTTGGCCCACCCGTCTATATAACAATATTTGCCTTACATCTCTCTTCAGCCCAGCTGTCTATAATATCCTACTCTACATATTACCCAGATGGGCCCACCCATCTCCATGAATGATCATATTCCCCCGGCCCATCCGTCAACATCAAGGATATATATATCATTGGCATACATGGGCCCACCCATCTCCATTGGAAATAATATGTTTCCTGGCCCATCCGTCATCATCGAGGATATACACAACATGGGCCCATGGTCCGCTGGCCCGTCTGATATGGGATATTATGTAGGTCAGGTGGCCTGTATAATACGGAATTTGTCACTGAAGGGGCTCGGTACCTCATGTCATGGGTTGGCTACCCTCCCTCCAAATGAACGTGGCTCCCCAAAACAGAATTGAAGTCCGCAGCAGAGCTCTTGAAAGCATATAAGAAGCAACTCAAGATCGCTCTAATTGCCATCTCATGAGCCCCCTCAGATGACACCCCTACCACTTCCACACTCAACCCCACTATACCAGATCCAAACCAGACGACTTCAACAGACAACAGATCCACAATCGCCACCGCCCTTCCACCTTCAAACCCCTCAACAAGAAACAACCCATCTCCCAAGGAGATACTTTCGCCCAAACCCAAGGATGCTCCTTTCACTATGTCGGATTCAGCATCATCGTGTTCCTCTTGCCTCTCTGCTTCCTCTCATGCATCTGCATTACCCCAGACCCAGACCTCCCATCAACTGCTTGGCCTTGATGGATCACAACACCCCTCCATTGGCACTATCCATAGAAGGAAACATGCCTATTGGGAGGCAGTCATCTGTGACCCCCAATTCGCTCTCCGACTAGACAGCTACCTCAATTGTACCAATGATGAGATCACCTTCAACCTCATCCAAGCCTTCAGAGGCACAGATGCCTTAACCGGCGATATTGCTAGGGTTGACCTAGCCAGGGACATGTCCCTCTCCACCGTATCCACCCGATACAATCAAGGCAAGATCAAGCAAGCATTGCTAAACTTGCTCGAACTTAGGAACTTCCATGCCGCTGTCATGGCCGTTGAGGAGGAGCAGGCATTTAATCCCCCTCCCAACCCAGTCAAAGTCGTCAAGCGTGCTGTCTATGACAGAGCTCCGACCCCCTTTATCCCTCAGCCACACTCCGAAACCCCGGAGCCTATCCCCAATGTCGCACAGCTTACAAACCCCAAAATTGACCGTCTCTATGAAGAGTACGAGCGCAAGCATTATGCTCCGTGTAACCCATCCCCCAGCTTCGACACCATCTCCATCACTATCCCAGAATTGGATGAGTGTACACCTGAATCTCCTGCAGTCAATCCTGACGATTGGGTACCCACTGATGCAGTACCACACCTCTCCATCGGCTCTCCCCACCCTCTTCCTACACCTCGACATAGAAACTGTCATCCCCGAGCAACCTCTGTCCTAAGTCTAGGACTTCCCCTCTCCCATGCGCATCACCCACACACACAGAATTACTCCTGTCACTTCACTCATGAAGAGGCGCAGGACGAAGCCATCTCCCAGGCTCAGCGGGATGCCACCGAGACCACTCAGGTCTATCGCAGCAATGTAGTCTGCCGCCAGTGCCATGTCTTTGGACACAAACAAAAGCATTGTGCGCAGTACTTCTGCCGTATTTGTGGGCAATTCGCCCCAAAACATCTCACCCCCTTCTGCCCTCATCTTGATGGCAAGAAGATACTCCATCGAGGACCCTCTCAGGAGCAGTTCTACCAAGACATGCGCCAGCTTGAAGCTGCGTATGACCAGGATGCTGCTCGCATTGAGCAGGAACGCGAGGAGAATGCACTCAAAGCCACCGCTTGGCTCAAAGACCTCGACTTTGATCCAGACTGGTACACGAACCAAGATGATTGAACTCGTTGAATTCAGCCTTGAAATGGGGGTAATGTTACAAGTAACATCGGTCACGAGGCCCCCCTATCATTTTCCCTTCATCCTCGCCCTCACCATCTACCGGCTCACACTCCTTTATCGAATATCCATTGACCGGATCCTTGGGACCGTTCCCGTCCCTCGTCTCCATCCCCTCCTCAACCTTATCACAGATAACGCACCAACATGCGCACATGCCTTGGCACTATGACTTGTCTCGACTCATGCCACCAATGTGGCATCTGTTTCCTCTGACTCATGCCTGCTCCGCATTGTATCTTTACTGTTGGTTCATTCCAATGTTTCTCTGTCTCATTCCACATTCGACCTCCCATCACTAATCAGGCTGTGTTGCCAGTGTACCGTTACCCTTTACGTTTCCCCTTTACCCTTACCTACAGTACGGTAACCCAGCCCTCAACCCTTTCTCTTTAGTATAAGTAGTCAGTCATCCTGTACTAGATTCTCTAACTTGAATCTACTCAATCTTCCCTCAAACATACTTCCCTCTGAAGCCTGTTCAGCTTCAGTCTCTAGTATCTTTTCTTAGGTGCTCATCGCGCCTAAGTCTACCTCGATCGATAGTCTCATCGTCGGACAAGACAGTCCGCACTTTGAGCCTAGTGACTTCATAGACCGTCGTCTTAGAAGTCACGTGACACATGCGTCTGTGATCACTGCCAACTTGACGTCGCCAGTTTCACTCGCTACACCGGATCCTTCCAGTTATGTCACGAATGTTAGCGAACGATGCCCCTCTTAGGGCTCCGCTGTAGAAACAACAGTACTGAGAGGAACTAATGAAGATCCTGACTGTATCTGTAAATGTTGTAAGGTCGCGCGTTGCCTAGTCTGCTATACTTGAGACGACAAGTGCATTCGACCCAGGGGTCTGCGATCTGGGAATAGTCTTGGGGGTAAGTGAGTGATGTGTGATCAATAGTCCGAGCGCGGGAAACAATGTCCGAAGGTATAATTACGATGTCTGATGCAAAAGTGTCGGGTCCGATGTTTTCGGGGTTTCGGGTTATCAGGTTCGGGTTCGGGTCTTTCGGAAACTAATAGTAACGCTATAGCGAGCATCGGAAGAGTGAGCGGTGTGCGCAATAATAACAATGACTGATACGGATAATGAAAGAGTGATGATATTCGCAATATCAACTAAGAACTACGAAATATCGGGTTTGACCACTAAGCATCGGGGAACTGCTCCCCTCTACTTGGATAATGAATAATGCTCGGGGTCAGTCCAATATATATGTAAGTACATAGAAATGCGGAACCCATAGGCGAAGGTAGTGGCCGATGATTTCGGATCCGAAGTACATGTAAATAAACATGAGGCGCTGCGGACTATGGGAAAACATGTAATAGCGCTGGCTACAACATGAGTAATGTGCGAAATAATGAACTACACACCTAGTGGGGCTAGCAAGACAGGACGGGACACGGATAGGACAAGTGCACGGGAAAACATCGGGTCCGATGCGGCCTAAACGTCGGGTTGGCGGGTTAGCGTCGGATAACATCGGGAAGTGATTAGCATGTGACGGGTATTTGACATGTACTGTAAAATAGCTCGATACGAGCCCAGCGCCAGCTCGTGTCCTACACCGCATAACAGACCTATTTGAGTGTGTAACAATGCCCCTCTCAGGGCCTCACGCAACAGATCTATTTGAGTGTGTAACACCAACAGCATCTACAGATAAACACCTGACTTTCAAAATACTCATTTAGCTAGCAGTGCACAAATCAAAGCACAGTACAAAGTATCTGCAGATGATCCATCAGATGCCAGAGTTGATATTTCTTCCATATCCCCAAAAGCCTTTCCAATACAGTCTGTTGCTCCAGAGAAATTAGCAACTTTGCAAAATGCTGCATGAATACCAAGGTAGTATGGACTAGGTAGAGGCAAGTGAAGAGGATCACTAGTTGTGAATGTCACAATAGGAGGAAATGAGCATATAGATGCAGGGTTTCCACATACTTGATATGTGTGTTGTGTGTCCTGGTAATGGTGTCAATCAGTCATCAATTCTCTGTCATGCTTTAATGATGCAATATACCACTTCTTCAAACCACAAGGCAAGCCTGTCAAACAATGCATGCACATGTATGGCCAAAGTCAAGACATTTTCAAGACAATGGATCTTAATGCCATCAAGTTCTTGGCTGATATCATGGCCTGCAAAATTGTTTACTATGGTCCGTTCATTTGCTGCATACTCAGGCTTGGTTATATGCAGAATGGATTAAGCAGAGTATGTTTGCAAAGCCAACAATTACATACCTTCAGGTTGTCCTCACCTTTGTTAGTGAAGGCTGGAAAAATATGAACAACTTCTGTGTGGAAGACCTGGAGTTCTTGAGCTAAAACCTCCACTGTAAGCTGTTTGTTATTGTGATAGGCTATATAATCAATGGCGCCAGTAACAACACAACGAAAGTTGTCCCGAGCAAGGGCCTGACTGAAATTAGATAGACTGGGTGAATGAGACATGAGCTACTTACATGTGCTTTTGCTGTTCTTTGATCTATTGGACTCTCCTCCATTATATGTGCTATTGCTGCCTTGATAGTGTCAAATGATGGCCCAGAGGTATGGTCCAGGAAAGAATATTCATGGATCTGACTTTTAGCAGCATTGACTATAAGTTTGAAAGGTCAATTCAAGCATGATGCAGTGGGTAACAGGTGTAGTACTCACACAAACAAATGAAATAGTCATAGGTGAGTTGGGCAAGGTGGAGAAGCTCATTATCATCAACACATTTGCTAATGTCCTTTGCAATATTGTGACGACCTGGTGCATATATCAACATATAACCCAGGATACGGGCACATATGAGGGTTGATGGGCTTCGTGGTGGGTCCAACTGCAAGATAGGGGCCCGAGCCTGCAAGGCCACACACCGGTCATATGCAGCATTGAACTCAGAGTCTGAGGGAATTGTGTTAGGGAGATTGGAGGGAAGTGGTACAGAATTATCCATGGTGGGCCTGTCAATTAGTTTCGTTACAGTACAGCTTGTCTATATTAGACCAAGGTCGTGGTGGATGGGCAACTTTGTCACCCTTCATCAAAGGGGTACTTCCGGAGAAAGAGTCCACCCTGGGAGTCGCTTTCTTTCTTTGGCAAAACACGGGCGCAAAAGGGGCCGGTGAGCTATGGCCAGTCTCAGCTGGATCGCCCCTTCGACTTTTCCTCCTGAAACTTTCGAGTGCAAGGGCCTCTGCAAATTTCCATCACTGCGCTTTTCTGCCAACATACATGCAGACGTCAAACGTCATTACCAGCCACTCAATGAGTTGTCTTACAGGCATTGCACTGTCCAAAATGTTCGGACCCCCAATCATAACAGCTCTTGCCTACCCATCCTCCATCACTTCAAGTTTTCCCTACAATACCAGCCAGCACATTGTCCACATTCATCCTGTCCAGCCACCTGTCTTATTATCCGCAACAGCATGCCCAATGACTACCTCACTGCCCATCATCCCAAATGGCAGCAGCATGCAGCGGAAGGTGGCGATTCGGAAGTACTGGAGCTTCTTCATCAATTGGATGGTTTCAAGTCCACAAAGAACATGAAGGGTTATCAAGGCTATGGATCGTACAGGTGTACTATAGATTTATGGGTCCTCACAAGGCATCAGTGACTTTTCGAAGGTGCCGCCGTAGATATATTGGATTTTGCACTTCTTCGTCTGGGACGTATTGACCGAAAGATCGAATTCCCTTCCCCTGGCCCAGAAACTCGTGTCAGCATTCTTAAAATCCACTCTCGCAAGGTGAGATCTCTGCATTCTGTATCTCGCGGGCATTCTTAGAACATAGTTATTCTTAGATATCACTGCAACACGGTATCGACTCGCCGAGAAAATGGGCCAGTGCTCAGGCGCCGAAGTGCGCGGTATATGTACAGAAGCAGGTGCGTACGTTGATGGTCTTTATCTTCGCGTTTGTTGATCAAGGACACAGGTATGTACGCATTGCGGGAGCGGCGGCAACATGTTACGCAGGAAGATTTTGAGTTCGCTATTGCAAAAGTGCTTAAAAAGAACCAGGAGGGTAATACGTCGGTCAACAAGTTGTTCTCATGAATGTAATGCGCTTGGTATTTGCATGATCCTTTTTTCCATCCGTGCTACTTGACGGACTTTTGAGACGTGGAACCGGCACGCGGTTGGAGTCAATTGGTGATCGACTTACAACTATATTTGTTAACGGTTGGTTCTCGCCACGACACATATCAATTCATGGCCTCATCGACCAACATCAACGGCATGATCATGGATTGTATGGTCTGAAGATGAAGCGCTGACATTTTGGAGCCTATGTTCACATATCCTGGTGTCAACCGGTTATAGGGACGAGATGCCGAGTTCAGATCCAAGTGCATGTGTCAGTGTGTGGCCGCTTTTGAAACGGGGCGTATACCTAGACAATTTGCATGGGACTGACTACGTATTTCGATGAACATCGTCCACTAGCATTCAGAAATTTGCATTGGACTAGCTGCTCTCGTGTCTCACAATTTGAGTATCAGCTACTGGGATGTCTACAGATTTCTGTCATCACGGTTTTCTGCTAATTCTGCTAATAGCATGCAGATACTCATCAAACGTCCTCACCAGCCGCTCAATCGGTTGCCTTACAGGCGTCGCACTATCCAACGTACTCGAACCCCAAAGCAACCTAGTTCTTGCCCACCCATCCACCGGCACGTTCCCCCACAACACCAACCAGCACATTGTCCACATCCATCCTATCCAGCCACCTGTTTTATTCCCCGCAACAGCACGCTCAATGACCATCCCAGTTCCCATCATCCCAAATGGCGGCACCATGCGCCACATCTCCGAGGATGGGTCGATGGGTCGTACTGCAAGGTGGTGAATAAACCCAGAGACGAGAAATGCGCCCATGACGCCCCCGATACGCCCAAAGAGTAGAGAAAGTGGGTTTCCCCCGAGGAAAATGAATATCCGACGCAACCACTGATGCCAGCGACGGCTCCATAATTCTCTGAGAGAGGTGGCGCGCCAGGGAGAGTCGAATGAGGGGGGGCATTGGTCTGGATGTTGCCTGAATATCAGTACGCAGATGACTACGGTGATCTCGTAATTGGCTTGGAGTAATGAGTAGATGGTGAATGCGTATAGCGTCGCGATGATGCACGATCGTAAATAACGGAGGTGTGGGGGAAGTGAGTCGTCGAAGATGGTACCACCATCAACAGATCCAGATGTTTCTGGAGAGAAAGACTTCACGGCAGAGCGAATCGCGCCACAAAGAAATAGTGCTTTTACCGTTGCCCAGACGTATCAGGTTGTTTTTGGATTTCAGCCGTTACTCCACCTCAGGCAGCACCTTCTTGTTCCCTTTTAACCTCGGTATGTAATATGTATTCAACTTCATGAACATGCGCCGGTTCGTTTTTTCTTAGATCCATCCTAGTGGAAACGCCTACTCAGCAAATAATGCTACTTCGCTGGTGTACTTTTAAATTGGTCTTTTCTCGACAATGCCAAACATTTACATGTGAGAGCGGTCAGCACATTTACGTGGAATGTTGTGATGCTCCAAAATATATTGCTTTAAATAGCTTTGTCATCGGTTCACCGATTCACTGATGGGCTGCACCCGAAACCACGCATCCCTTGCCCTCGTTCCTCCAGCTTCGGGGATGCTATCATATGCTAAAGGTTATGCTGAGGGCCAAGCAGAAGTGGACCGATTGCGAGCAAAGGCATTCGTAGCCGAGCTGGATGGTCGTCCTGGATTATAGAACTCTGTCAATGTCTCTCTATTCTGGAAATGGCTTGACACTCCCTCGACAACAGCGTGATGCACGTAGCGCTTTGATAGGACTGCGATAGGTCACACTTAGTCTAGACAAATACCGATAATAATTTCCTCTTCTACCAGTGGTAGGAGTGTTGGTTGTCATTTCGGTAAGTTCCGATCGTACTTTACCATGTACTACGTCCAGTTATATTCTCCTGCACGGACCATGTTCACTGATTGGACATACGAATTTCAACCGATGACGGTCCACACGGCCAGGGTCGGATGATATCTTCAAGCGCGTGATTCATAACTGATACTGCAATCTGCAGCCGGTACTCCCTGAGAACCCTCGCAGTGTTGCTGCAAAAAAAAGACTGGACATCATGAGGTTTGTAGTACTGCCAAGAGTGACATCACGGCTGTCTCCGTTTGCCTATGTGACCAACATTTAGCTGCCTGACAACATTTATCGACTGGCCACTGCAGTAGGTGATGCAGTCAGAAAACTGCCGTCCGTTACTGGCGGTAGCATGCAGATTCGGTGCGCAGCCAAAGTGTTCAAGTTTGTAAGAAACTACTGATATGCTCCTGTAAATCTCACGCACCCGCACTACTACATAATCTAGTGCCTTATGACCAGTGGTTCATAACACACTTAGACGATAACCAGAAAGTCAAGCAGGTCAAGCATTGGATACTTTCAAAATGCAATATCATCCAAACGTCCCATTTCCCCGCTCAGCGCCCAGTTTCTCCTATCACCTTTGCTTCCAGCATCAGGACACGTACCTCAATCGATAGTATGGAAGACGGTTATAACGAGGATGACGAATACGATGAGGATTCGGATGACTTTGACGACCTTTCCTATCGCCACCCAGAACTCAGGCGTCAGACTATATATTCTCGTCGACCTGGAAAGACATCGACCGCATCTGCTTCACACACCATTCAACCTGGCAGTAGTCCAGTCACAGACCAGTATACCCTTATATCTTTTTCAACTGGAACAATTCTAGAAGATGACTATGCCCTATCGTGGTATAAACTTCGGCCTTGCGAACTTTTAGAGATGCACCGCTCAGGAAAGGTCGTCCAACTACCAAGAGAAATCATGTCGGAGTATGTTCAACCCTACTTCGAGTCTAAAGCCAGGGCCCTCCGTGCAGTATGGAGTGTAAAGTCAGGCCGATTCGAATCCCCTGCAGCCACTAGCAATAGGTTGAGGGCAAGAAGCGGAGACAAGATATCTACTGTTCATACCCCCTTGCAACCCGAAAAGAAGAGGAGAAAGGCTAAAGTCGAGTGGAAAGATCGATGGATAGTCATAAATCATGGCACGCTGTCTCTCTGCAAGGATTCATCCGTGCGTCCTTTGAATATACAGTTAGCGCATTGCGTACTTACCTTCAAGCTACCAGGGCGGGACCCCTTTGCATCATTTCCCACTAACCTCATTATGCGCGCTTCGTGGCGCAGAGTCTCTTGCAAGAGCCTGTTCCATCATTGCAGAGCAACGCGTCGTTTGCCTCAAGTTTCGAGGCAAGGAGTTCATGGCATCCTCCTTCTCAGCCTCTTCACCATCCATGTCTCTCCCCTCATCTCCGATTGCGGAAGACTGGAAAACAGACGTTCAAATTGAAGCAACAGACATTACTCCTTTACCAGACAAACCCACTTCAACCTCAAAAGAACATACATACAAAGGAGATCACCATAAGAATTCCCCGTGCTTCGACTATAATCCGGAAGACATCTGCCGCGGGGAAGGCGAATGGCTCGTCCTCGATTTGCTCGATGATCATGGTATTCGATTTACTTCGCAATATCCGTCTCTCTGACTGTTCACTCACATAGCTTTCTCGAACATCCTCCGTATCCTTCACCGTTACACCTCTCATCCAATATCATCATCGTTCCTCCCCACCTCATCAATCATCACGGTCGCAAACTACTGGAACAATGTCTCTTCTCCCGCTCTCACGCCTTTTGTTTACTCCTCCCCATACGACTCTCTTCCATACCCAGAATGGCGCACGAAAACCGTCGAGACCGCGCGCAAGGCTGGCATGGGGGACATCGGAAAACCCCTCGCACTGGTCCTGTGGTCTGAAAATACCCGCCGAGAAACCTCGTTGCACGATATCCGCAATCCGCGATTCGCTTTCTCGCAAGGAATGAGTCATAAATCTTCTGTTAGTTCTTTTGCGCTATACTCGGACTCAGAATCAGGCGAAATAGATGGAGAGAGCGAGATGGAGTGGGAAGGTTGGATGAGGGATCTAGAGAGGCAAGGAAGCGTGAAGCAACATCATATTCGGCATCAGAAAATCATCCATTCTCCTAGTGACTCCGAGCACCAACCGCCAAGCCCCTCACTCCTATCCACCCCACCGCTTTCAGATGCATCCTCTCAGGGCTCCCCAAGAGGCCACTCACCCCCACACTCTCCCCCTACATACCCCACGATCAACAACGTCATCCAATGCGGGGATCCTTTTTCCTCTTCTCTCGAATCACGTGTGCCTGGGAGGATCAAGAATGAGACGATTAGCACCGTAAGCGTGGGCACCGCCCCGTTCATGTCTGCGCGGAGACGGTCTTCGACGCTCACTCCAGGCAGCTTATCCAGGCTAATGAAGGATAGGGAAAGGGGAGATGCCATTCATCCGTCGACTGCTAACAACTCGCGTACAGGAGCACCATCATCGTCATCATCAAGAGGCACCCATATCCGACACGCGTATTCAGGATCCAACCTCCGTTCAGTCCCGACAGAGAACCTCCGTCGTGCACAAGATGCAGAAGCCTCTAGTACTGGCAAGAAAAAGGTTGGTATCGTGAGGGGTATGTCGATGCGTGCGGAAAAACTTGTGAGAGGACTGGATGCTGCCATAGACTTTGTTGATAACCATCCTTAGTTGTTGGTTTGTTTACTCTTTCTCTCGCTTTTTTCACCTAGGTCATTATGCGTGGAATTGGTATTTAAGATTACTTTTGGAGTGTATATTAGTATGTATTCGCCCATATGATAGCTGTAACTTATTATATACAAGTACCCCCTAGTTTGCTGATGCTTGTAGTCTTGCAGAACGGCAGACACGTTGTCGAGCGCTTGGATCTGCGATTTGCAGTGCTGGCCGACCTTGGGCCGACCCCATTGTTGTTGGCCGTGCTAGAACGTTTAACCGAGAGTCTGGAGACCTACACTTTGAGTCCCACTTTTGTATTTTACTTGACAACACGAGAACGTTCTCGTGTTCCGCATCGCCCGCGACATCTTCGTGATCACTGCCATTAGCGTCTCACTCTGATAGCTGCTACTCGTTCCTGAGCATTGGATATTGAGTCTGCGTCGGTCACTATTAAAATATTAATATCGCGAAGGAATGCGATTTCGGGAACGAAGTCACTTTTCTCGACGGCGCGAGCATCCGAAAGCGTCCAACAATCTGGGGACGACACCAGTGGGGGGGGGGGCGCATCAGAGAACCTGTGAGAAGAAGATATCGTCATATATAGGAAAGGTTTTCGTCACATTGGAATATAAAGCAATATATGACTATGTAAAAGCACCATAATCAGCATAATCCCCAGCAAGAACTCACCGGTTTACTGATGCCGGCCGCCCAGGTGGGTGACCATGAGCTGCCAGATCCGAGTCTGGGGGCGTGTCAGACGTTTGGTTCAACGTTTTACAACATCAGCCATGGCTGACGCGTCGACATTCCTCCTGCTTCCTGTGTCTCTTGTGCCTGCCAGGTCCGAGTCTGGGGGCGTGTCAGACGTTTGGTTCAACGTTTTACAACATCAGCCATGGCTGACGCGTCGACGTTCCTCCTGCTTCCTGTGTCTCTTGTGCCTGCCACCAGGCGCCCTTGAACCGTTAAAACGTGGTCAACTTGGAGGGTCATCACGGAGGTATGCGTGATGTGTCAGCCAAGAATACCAAACTGCTGACATGCCCCCAACGACAAACCCAGTGCGCCCAGACTGTCCATAATAACCTGGCTTTTCTGAAACATCCATTAAATATGATTACACATTTCTATCTCTCGCTGGCTGTCAATGAATGTCAATCATGATTGGACAGCACCACCAGGGTCCAGCGGTACCTGGTTTGCGCCACAGCTTGGCGGCCGAATGATGATCCAGGTGATGGTAGGGCATCGCAACTAATCACTATAAAAGCGATGGTTGACAGCTTATCCGATTCTGCAAGTATCCTACAAGTCCTATCACGATATGGCCATAGTCTCAGATGATCCCGTTTGGTGGCCGATCATCGAGTTTTGTCGTCTTTACAGCTATAATCTAGGTTCGTAGAGTGCTAATGGCGACACCTCGATATATTTGACTATCGCTTTGCAGCTGCATGCTCTGTTGTGGTGATATACGACTGGGGTGAGCGAGATAATACGTTCCAAGGGATCATTGATATGTATACAACATTCAAGCATTGACATTCGAACAAGAGGTAAGTTGACGTCATGACTTGTGCGTCTCACCGAATTGATAATGCTCTAACAGTTCGAATTGATCTTGGTGAGCAAAGTCCGTATCAGAACCAAATAGAATCGTGCAGTTTATTCGGGGCAGAGGCGACGTTGGACCTCCATGACTGTTCTTTATATCTGTGTACGTCATTGCTATGAGCGCAGTTGGCATCTTGTGCTGACTTCAACATATGCTAGGTGCGGTACATTGGAATACTATATTTTGCGTACGTTTGCAAGGTTATCTACATCACACTGCAATGTGCCAATAAGTCCCCTCTCGCAACCAGTGTTAACATTATGCGTACGTGTTTTCACATGCGTTCGCTTCTAGACTCTGACCGGCGGCACGCAGTGTTACTCCCTAATACCTGGATTACAGATGTGGTGCGTATTCTGCACCGGTGCCCGTCATTTCCATTCCCATTTGAATACTAACTGGCCTCTTATATAGGAGTGAGTGATGTTCTCGGTCGGTTTGTGTCTCCAATGCAACGACTTCGACAGCTGTGAGTTCATTTAAACTATGTATCCCAACACCAAGTAACTGGGGTTTCAGGCACTTTCCTCTGGTACATACAGGCATGGAACCCTGTCATCGTCAATGCCATGTTGGGCGGTGAGCGCATCCGCGATTTCCCTACTGATATTGACTTGACTGAAATACCATTCAAGTCATCATGATTGCTCGGATAAATGCCATGTATGAGGGATCGAAAAAAATGTTCATATTTCTTGTTGTAGCCTTGTCGGCTTCCACGATCGCCTCCGGGGTCATGGTGGTAATCGCAAACCTGGGTGTTTCATCGCGTAAGTTTTAATTATTAATTAAAAAGTCTGGAACACAAGAGACTCACAGACATTTACATTTACCAGAGGAGGCCGTCCTTTCCGGCTACCATACCTGCATTACCACAATTGATGCGGAAATGATGCATCTGTTTTACGAGAGTGTGATATCTACTGTTGTATGGGAGATCCTCGTCTTGTTTCTTGCACTCTGGATTGTTTTAAAGCACTTCCGTGAACTGCGACAATCGCCGACAAGATTGAACATTGACCACTGTTTCACGATATTAATGGAGAGTCACGCGCCTTACTTTCTAGTGTGAGTTCTATAGGTAATTTGAACTTATCTTGTTTCACTGAAGTTCCGCATTTGCCAGCTTTGTTATTATGACTTGCTTCACACTTGGCTCAATATCTCCAAATATCACGGTACGCTGACCTGCGATTGGCGTCTGCAGTTGACCACTATCATCGTTTCTCTGCAGAACACCATGGAACGTCTTATTTACTTTAGTGTTTGGGCAACCTCCCAGATGTTGCAGATGTTTGTGCTGGGACCGCGTCTGATCCTCAGCGTTCGAACCAAATATGAAGCCAGGGCCGAGGGGGGAACAAGCATGATGTCCATGGCTTTCCATGCTAGTGAAGATGTGTTGACCGGCGAAGATGCGTTGACTAGCAAAGATGATGTGTAGCACATCGAATTATCCAAATGATCAACAACGGTACTGTGCGGGGAGCATGAATATTCATTTGTTTCGTTATGATATTTAGCTTCGTCGCGCTAGTATATACAGTAGACTATCCCATAATGTATACACTTGTGTATATTTTCAATATTGTATCGAGTTTTTAATGGTCCCACTTGGTCCCACTGTGAGACAGCGAGAAAATTAAACCCCAAATTTCTCCCCAGATAATGCCTATGTTGCCTACAGACTCTCACAGAGCGGACAGCGCTCACAAAAGACATACAAGCACAGTCAAGTATTTTGCACAGCTCTGTCATCGGTAGATTAGACAAGTCATATCATTTGTTTATCTGCATGTACAGGAAGTAAGCATATAATATTACATATACATCAAATCAAGATATAGTTAGCAAAGGAAAAACATGGATATTAGTTCGATTGACGACCTATTACATGAAGAGCAGTATCAGTAAACAGACATTCCAAATGATGATCATAGAAGCATGCGGGATGCAATGGGTATTTTCAATGGTGGATCACTCTGAATGACGAGGTAGACGAGGTAGATGGGGAGCCTGAGCCATTGAGGTCTTCGCATTCTTTGTCATTGTCGAACGCCAATTGGTCAGTAATTTGCCTCGTGCATCTTTGGAACATTAGATCATCTTCGAAGCTGCGCTTACGGGAGGTCGATGTCTCTGAGGGTAAAACGATGGTGTCCGATGTGGCTATGGATGTAGGAGTTGACCGTGATGACTCAATGTCATAGCCAACCGATGGACGACGTGGTAAAGGAGGTTGGCCTGGAATTCTCTTTTGATATTTGGTCAGTCTGACCAAAGCACGATCATTACTAGAGACTTGCCTCCAAATTGTAGCGACAGATATAAAAACGACCGTCACTGTCCTTCTCTCTGCACGCCTTTGAGATAAAGTATCAGCACAGACTCATGTCTATAGTTATGGGAAATGATTGCACATGTGTAACGGTGTATAAGCCATCATACCGATAGCCAATGAGGGGCGCAAATTTAGAAACAAAATTCGAGCTCCGGACGACGCGCACGGGCTTGCCTGTGTGACAAGACTGCTATTGTACTGTCATTTCCCGCCCTTACATTCAACGGGGATAGAACTCACAAGAAGTGCTTGATTTCCCCAACCCGTCCATTCCTGGTTAGAAACCTGTGGGCCTGGATTTTTCTTGGGGAATTCAATGGATGGTCATGCTACAGAAGGAAGAAAAAACCTTACAGGCCAACCGTTATTATCGAGGCCACCCCCTGACGGTACTATGTCGGCATACAATCTTGTAGCACATATTATAAATACACACCTGAACCTACGTAGAGACTATATACATAGGTCAGACTATCGATCAAATTCGAATATATGCGTCGCGGTGCTTACATCGTGTCGCCAAAGTCCTTGTCATCATCGTATTGACCCGAAACGACGATTGAGCAAGCGCCTAACATCTTACTACCCTGTATTCCAGCCTGATGATGGCGGTGTATGCCAGCTTGATAACAATCTTTGCTGCGAACACATAGACAGATGGGATAGTGAGTGATATTGACAAACGAAGGTTCAGAATACACACCGTGACATCCACGTGGCACCAACAGGTACTCCAGGAATCGCTCCAAAGCGCCGCCTGTAAAGAAAGTGTGTGAGTAGTATAATTAAGGGGAAATCTCTGAGAAGTATCACTGACAACATTCTGGCACGACTGGCCCTGACCTCCTTGGTCACTTTGGGGGCGATTCTTTTTGGAGGTTCCTGTGTCTCCTCGTCACTTTCGCTTGCAATTACTTCTGGATCTTCCTCCGTCACGTTGACCACTTTACCGGCGGTTTTTTCTCGAAATTCTATCTCCTCATCCCCTTTGCTGGCGATTACTTCTGGATCATCCACCATTTCCTTGTCCTTTTCGCTGGCTATTTCGTCCTGATGTTCCTCTATCTCCTCGCCTAATCTATAGTGGTAGTTTTTGACGCCAACTTGAAGTTGTTTTATAAGGGTCAGGTAGTCCATTATGTCGTCGGTGACTGTCAAGATGATGGAGACACTCACACGAGGCCAACACGAGGCTCATATACATAGAATGCTGCTGCATGACGCATCGGAGTTTCGAAAGATGTGATCATCGAAAGGTCAAACTTGGGTGGGTGGAGCCGCCCCTTCTAAGAAAGATTCGATTCCACCGGCGACAAGGTAGCAACTGCTGACGGAACTAGACCTCCGGACTGGACAGTGGAGAATGACACTAGATGGCCCCATGACACGTCGGAAGTGCAGTTGATGGCAGCCGATATCGACTCGCGTCCGCTGCCATGGAAAGAAGCAGGCTGTATGGTGTCTGCCGAATTGCCAAGGCTTGAAAAAAAGGGGTCTGGTCCCGATTTGGCTGCTGTGTGGCATCGCTTGCTTATGTAGTAACTTACTGACGAGTCTACCGTCATCAGTTTTGCTACCCTTCCTTAAAATCATGAACTCGCCCTGGAAAGGCAAAGCAAAAGCCACCAATCAAGATTATGACGACTTGCGACCAACCATAACTTACAGACACATTCTATCCAATAACCTCGGTGTTAGAGATCCCCTACGCGTCGTTGCCCTGTGCGATAGTGACGCCTTCTATGCTGCCTGCGAACGCGTCCGGCTTGAACTCGACCCGAACGTACCAATTGTTGTACAACAATGGGAGAGTATCATAGCAGTGAGCTACCCTGCACGCGAATTCGGCATATCCCGCATGGACAAGATTAAGGACGCCAAGAAGAAATGTCCTAATCTACTTGCCGTGCATGTCGCAACTTACAAGGAGGGCGAGAAGGAGCCCAGCTACTGGAAGGATGTCGATACGCGCACTCACAAGGTGTGTTGTGCATCCTGCAATGCTCCTAACGTGACAGAAGTTGATCTCTTGTTGTCGCATATTCGAAAGGTATCCTTGGATCTATATCGACGTGAAAGTAACAAGATCATTACTATGTTTAAGGAGGCTCTTCCGACCGGAGAAGTTGGTGAGATGCGCATGGTACTTATTTCATATGGTTCACTGACGTCAAAGCAAGAGAAAGCCTCCATCGACGAAGCATTCATTGACTTTACTCGTCCTGTGAGAGAAAAGTTACTTGAACGATATCCATACCTTGCTCAAGTCCCTGCCGATGCACCAAATGGGATGGACAGCCCCCTACCACCACCTCCTCCGATAAAGTGGGATGATCTGGGAACAGTCTTATTACCAGAAGGAACTGATGGTGCTGGAGAACAATCTAACGTTGATATTGATGGTGGTGCAACATGGCACGACGTAGCGTTGTCAATTGCCGCAGAGCTGATGCGAAAGATCCGCGAGGACATACATTCAAAGCTAGGCTATACAACTTCTGCTGTAAGCGTCATCTCGTAGGGAGCTCGCAATCATCTTACGCACAATCAATGATGCAGGGGATTGCTCGTAATAAGTTCCTTGCAAAGGTTGGTGCTCCTCTTCCCCCAGTCGATTGCACTCAATCTCTCGCAGCTTTGTGCCTCTTACAAGAAACCCAACAGTCAAGTCAGTCTTCTCAGTCCCATGTTTACATCAATAACCAAATAAATAGACTATCCTTCGGAACCAGGCCATTCCAAGTTACCTCCATCCCTTACCCTTTCAAAAAGTAAGTCTCTAATCTTGACGTATATTGGCTGCCTTGACCGCAAAACACGCTAGATTCGCTTCCTCGGCGGAAAGCTCGGTGATGCCCTAGCGAAAGAGTATGATGTTTCAACCGTAGGCGACTTGTTGTGAGTAATGGACTATTCTTCCCGATTTCTATGTATCACTTACCCCATTAAAGAACTATTTCACTAGGTAATGGATATTGTCTTCATCCATTTCAGCTTCTTATACATGGTAGATGAAATACAAAGCAAGTTCGGCGAAAATGCGCTATGGATATATGAATTACTTCGGTGAGATATTCAATTCGTTATCCTTGGGGAACGTTTATTCATCATGCAACGCTAGTGGCATTGACCGCACTGAAGGTATTTCAATGTGACCTGGCTACACCTTTCGCATTTACAACTAGTTCATAGTCAAAGAAAAGTCTGCGCTCTTCAAGAGCATGTTGGCGTCAAAGAACCTTCCGAAGCCGATAACGCAGCCTTTGGATGGATACCAATGGATTAGAGTCCTTGCTGCAGAGCTGGCGTTACGACTCAATGATGCTAGAGAGTCGATGCCGACGCTGTGGCCGAAGACTATTGTGCTCCATGCTCGCAAAGGTGATTTGAACTCATAGCATCGAATGTTATTTGTTGAACTAGGAACACATTAGGATACGAAACGTCGCGATCCAAACAAGCAACATTTCCTTTCGTCCGCAATGTGACAGTGGACGTGATTGCGACTGCCGCAGACAAGCTATGGAAAGAGCTTACTGGCGACTCAAAAACTGTCAATATCACATCGGTCCAGCTAGCATTTACTGGCCTGGAGAAGGCTGAGATAGGCCAGAAAAGCATCGAAGGGTTCTTCGCGACTCGAGATATTCAACGAACATTCCTCAAACGTTCACGCGAAGGAGATGAGCCTCTGGTCTCGCTTGAGAACACTGACCTGGCTCTGCCCAAATCTAGCGATATCGAGGCAGTTTCATTCCAATGCACCCGATGTCGTAAGACGATCGCACTTCGAGAAGGTCAAGCAACAGGTGGTCCCAGCGAAGTAGCACAACGATTGGCAACGTTACGATCGGAACACGGCGACTTTCATTTCGCACAGGACTTGGCAAACAGCAATGAGGGGTCGGTGCCTGTACCTCGCGGTTCATCGTTGAAACGTCAGAAAGTGGAACCAAAAGGGATTGCGAAGTTTTTCATCCAGAAGTAGGCAGCTTAGTGGCGTGTTACGATCGGGGAAAAGCCATGATGATATATGTATGATAATCATGCCTCTGCAAGAGAATGAGCTATATCGGTGGCATGGAGTGCACAGATTTACACAGGTATGTAGTATGTCTTTAAGGCAGTGTAGAATGTGGCAGTTTTGATTGATCGTCACTACGGCATTGGCTAGCTGTTCAGATCCACCATCAAAACCTCAATTGCCGAGTCCCGACACAGTCATATGAAGAGAGAAATGAAGATTCGATCAAAACGCTGTCGTTCGTTCGTTCGTGCGTTCGTCATCTTTCGAAGTTCTTTCTGCGGACTGGGTTCCACCTTTCGACCTCTGAGAGGCACGTTTCTGCGGCTAGTCCGTCATTCTTCGTTCATTTTCCTCTGTCTGGGACAGCTGGCCGTTTGCTTAGTCTTTTTCATTTCAAGAACCCTCGAGGCATACGTCATTCATTATCATGCTCTCGAATTCCCATTTCACGCCCTTCTCTACTGCTCAGGCAAATGGATTGATCGTGAGTCATTAGCACGAATTCTTGCGAGTAGCGTCAGATGATCCCACCCAGGTCGTTCCCGCGTTTGCCTTACTATCTGCGCTAGCACTCGCTTTCATAGTTTTCAGAAGTATCCACCTCGTGGTAATCCCCTCATTCCAGCGTAACGGGCCGGCGTGCAGAGCTCCGGAGAACCTATTCTTCCGTACTCAACTAGGCCATTATGCTGCATCCCTTGTTTTAAGCAATGTTTTCCTCACTGCAGCTGGGCTTATGGAGTTTTTCTGGGTCAAACAATCTGGCATCCATCAAGGTAGCACTTTTGGTATTCAAACTACATACGTTGTACTGACGGCTATCAGGCTCCATGTGCACTTTTCAAGGTAATCTAAAGTGATAGTGCTATGATCAGATACTGAGTCATCTTGTGACCAGCTGTCCTGATGCAGATAGGTTACTGGTCCACCTGTTTCTTCTCTGGTGCTATCGGTGTCCACACGTGCAACTCTCTGGTATTTCGTCTCTACCAAATTAGTTATCTGAGCGTTGTGGTCATCGCCTTCGGATGGATCATGTCGCTGCTGATTGGTAAGTGGCACTACAACAGCAACCGAGTTGATATCATCTCATGTTATCCATATCTATAGCACTGGCACCCATCAGCCAAGCTGATGTCTATGGTCCAGTCACTGTTTCGTGTGGCGTCATGACGGCATATCCCGGCAAGATATTTGGGCTTGAAGCTTTTCCGGTACGGTTTATTCTAGTCTGACCTGATAGGGTCTAAGTAATTATGAACAGGTCATTCTTGTCTCTGTGCTTTTGGTCATTATTTACTCCCCGATTTTCCTTTTTCTCGGGGGTATTCTGCATGTCAAAGGGGGTATCAAGTTGACTTGCAAGGCCCAGGGACGATGGTGTGCTGTGACCGACTCGGAGGAATATCACCGCTTCTTGGCAGCTGTCGCAAAGACGATGTTTTGGTGAGTTGCTGTACGCTTATGCTTATCCAGGTCATTCATCCGTTCGTTGCAGGTACCCTATCGGTTCGTGACCTCGCATATGATCGAGTTCTCCTGTCTTGACTTCCTGTCTAGCATTTGTCTCCCTCTTGTTGCCGATCGCGGTTGTAAATATGGCACAATCTTCTGGTCGTGTTATCCCATTTGGAGTAGGAGTATTTGCGCATGTATGCTGTTCTATGCTTGGTTGGTGGTCCGGGTTTCAGCATGCGTCGTAATCACTGATTGGTGTTCTAGGGCTTGTCAATGTCGGACTTATGTACAACACCTTCCGTGTGCTCAGCCCAGTCTTCCATTGTTCAACACTGCCAAAGATTCAGGTTGATACAAAGACTTTTGGAAACAACGCGTTCGACGAATCGCCTATTCTTCCCGCAGTCGCTCACATGCCCAAAGGACCGCTTTTACCTCTGTACAATGATACCTCCAAGGCAATATCACCAGTCTCGCTGTCAGATTTTCCGCCAGTTCAATATCACTCTCGCAACTCCTCCACTGCAAGTACTGATTCCGCGACTCGCTTGTTGAGCACCAAGAGGACACCCTCGAGGTTTCACAAGATGAGGGTCAGGCAGGGCGAGTCGTTACTGCCTCTGTCTCGTGCCATTCTCACTCCTTCGGAGCTCAATCGCCAGCTCGATGCTGCGTCTGATACAGAGAGTCTCAAGGGTCACAACCTTCGCATCAACTTGCCTCAGATGGCTGAGGTCAATACACCCAAAATGGCCGTTGTGACTGTCAGCCTATCGCCTGCACCTCGTTCTTCTACTGCATCGGTGGTCACCGGCTCTCCAATCGTACCTACGTCTATCCAATCCTCGAACGCTTCTCCCATTATGAGGCAGTTCACTGCGGCCTTTGGGAGGCCGAGCCGCAAGTTGTCTGTGTTTGGGTCACAGTCAAAAGGCAGTGGTAAAATACCTCTCATTCTTACTGTTGGGCAGCCACTTTCGCCTATCCCTGCCTCCCCAGCTGACAAGAGTCCAACAAAGAAGTCTGTCTCCCGGCTCCGCGTACCTTCTATAAAACGCAGACCTACTCCATTGGATCTCACTGATGCCATTCCTACACCCGTCATTCGGCCTCTACCGGTCATTACTACAAAGGCTGAGCAGAAGGTTGACAAAGGTAAAGGCAGAGCACCGCCATCGCCTACAACTCTGGTGGAAAGGGATGTTATATCCCGTTCCCACGCTGCCCTTAGACAATTACCTCAACTCCCCCGAAACAGTACAGGATCCTCGTCTTCTAGTGCGCACAGTCGCCCCGAAGCTGCTACATCTGCTGCCCCCCATGAACGTCACGGTTCAATATCGTCGCCCTTATCCATATCTTCTATATCTTCCTTCCTGGACAGTCTTCACAGCACCCATTCAACGAGCTCAGTTGACGGAGGAAGTGAGAAAGTCCTGCCGAGCATTCCACCGACGCGCGGTAATACCATTGAAAGCATGGACTCTGAGTCGTCTTTGTCCTCTTCTTTCGAGAAACACAAACAAAGTGAGAGATCGACCTGGATGACGGTCTGGTCGCAGGGCAGTGCTGTTACCTTAAGCCAGCCCCCCGACGAGGAGACCATGCTTGCATATGCATCACTTGTCCCCGGTTCGAGCGTGACCAAGGGTGATCAGGCGAGTGTAGAGAATGTTTCAAAGAGAGAGGACGTTTCTCCTGTGCCTCGCGCTCCGATACCATTTGCACTTCGGCCAGGTCATTCGATGGTAAAGCTGTCGGGTATCCCACTTTCGTTGCGGACATGATTTAGAGGACTGCACGCACGATACTGGACGCTGCCTGAGATATTAGTACAACTTACATACTAGTTATTACGATATTTACATCTACATTCCACTCCTCACCACTGAATGAACTTCTTAGCTTAAAGCTCAGCGCTCGAGCTTCAAGCTTCAAGCCTCAATTGCCTGTACAATTGACATGAAGTATAATATAATTGGACTTGCCCAAGATGGTACTTGGATTCGATGACGTATATTTGAAAAGTCCTGTTCTTCTTCTCGCTCTCATATCCCGGTGCAAGCCACTAACACTGCACCGACCATGGCGTTATCCAACTGGGCAGCATATCTGAACAGGTCAACAAAGCTGCTCAGAGACAGCAGCATCAAAAGCACGCTTGTTTAAATGTCGGATTCTGACCGCAAAACTGACAAGGCTACATACACAGTACTCCGTATGGAAGGCGCAGACGGGCCTTCAAGAGCACCTTTGACGCTTTTCAGGTTAAATTCTAAACAGGACATCGAACAGTTTGCGACTGGCTGCGATGCAGATATTGGTGGCACGTCCACTGTCCATTTAGAGCTTGACGAGTCCACGGAGCGTAACAAGGGCAGTGGGACCACGGCTACGGGTCGGTTTTGGGGCGATATGCGACTGGATGTCAGACCGGAACTGCAAGGGCGAATCAGAGGTGGATATACTGGGTTTCGGTCCAAGGTAAATGATATTTCCGAGCTTGATATCACACCCGCTTGACACGATGTCCGTATCAGCCCCGCCCGACACTCTTTGGTGAAATGGTCGACGACGTTTCAAATCACCAGTTCCTTGCCCTGAGGCTACGCCTCGGTGGTGATCCCCGGTTACGCAACTCGTATTTTGTGAATTTACAAACTGACGGGCCGATCACGACGGACCTATGGCAGCACCGGCTCTACTTCCAACGAAATGATGGTCACTGGGAAGATGTATTCGTGTGTCCAATCTGTACTAACATTTTCACGGGCGCCAACTGATCGCAACTCTTTCAAGATACCGTTTGAGAACTTTATACTGACAAATACTGGTGAATTGGTGCAGCATCAAATTACGATGATGCGCGAGCGGATACGGACAGTTGGGATATCGCTGCTTGGGGGAAACAGCGGCGTTCCGGGTTCCTATGACCTCGGCATTGACTCCATACGGGCGGTGAATGAGGAAGACGTGACGCGGCCTCCATGTAAGCGGTTCTCACTGTAATTTGGTAGCTGAAGACTCAAAGAAAATAGCGATAGAAAAGGATCCATCCCGTGGCATTTGAGCGCTACTACGTACATTCCACCACGTTGGACGCTTGAACAAAAAAAAACTTGCATGAGCATCTAACAGTTTCGGTCCATAATCATAAACTATATATACAACGGCAAACTTTTTGTAGCCGACGGGCCTGACGAGTAATAGAACCGCAGAAGAACGTACAAAGGTCGACAAAAAGCCCATCAGTCAGCCAGCAGGGAGCGCGAGGAGTAGAAAAGTGTCCGGAGATAAAGGAAGTGTGGGTATATGGATGTTCTCATACGACTACACAACCACTGCAGCATCCGCCATGATCGCCTTCATGAGCGTCACCTTTGCCACTGTAGACGCCAGGTCCGCCGCCACCGGAGTTGGCCATAACGGGTCTGCCTGTTTGTTGCTCCTGCGAGAGTGAATTACATGAATGAATTGTGAGAAATAAATAGAAGATTCTTACTTTGTTGTACTTTCTTATCTCGCGGACGAGGTTGCTGAATGCCTCATCGACGTTGATGCGCTGCTTAGCCGATGTTTCGATGAACTTGCAGCCAAAGTGTTTTGCAAGGTCACGGCCCTCTGTTCATTATTAGGAACGAGTACATTCAAAAATCAGTCACGACTTGCCATTCATTCCAACTTGTCGCTCATACTCGAGATCGCACTTGTTAGCCACGACGATAACAGGGAACGAATCTTGGTCCTTCACACGAAGAATCTGTTGATGGAAAGTGCTAATTTCCTCGAAAGAGTCGCGGGAGGTGATAGAGTAAACGAGGAGGAAGCCTTCACCAGTGCGCATGTATTGCTCGCGCATGGCTCTGTGAAAAGTGAGCGGCAAGGACTAACGACAGTAGAATATCACTCACCCGTATTCCTCCTGACCAGCAGTGTCGAGGACGTCGAGCAATGCGACCTCTTCATCAATGACGCATTGCTTGCGGTACGAGTCTGTGTTACTATTCTCAGTAAGGATTCGAATGGAAGAGAGGCTATTATACCCTCGATTGTTGGGTCGTATTCGTCGACGAAGTGACTTTGAATGAATTGGATGGTGAGGGCAGATTTACCGACACCTGGTTGGAACAAGTGTTATCAGACATGGTTCATCGTATCTCTGCAGTTTGAAACTCACCACCACCGCCGACAACTACCAACTTGTATTCCCTCAAGAACTGCGCCTGTAAATAGAACAATGCTGTGAGTTCTTGTTGGTGATGGGTTAGGATGGCACATACCCTCGACATAGTTTGTCAAGTAAACAAGAAAGATGTAAGACTTGAAAAGAACTTGCCTGATTACAAGGGAGGATAGCTTGGTGAAACCAGATGGAATGATGAGCGCACAGGCAATTATAATGCTGATACTAGCTACCCGAGGACCAAATAAGACCAATTCTAGGTGTTGTGGACCGACCGGATCCGACCCTGGCTATGACCGTGTGGCCACTGTCACTGTGGCGCATCTTATGCTGTGGATCCTTGATCTCGCATTCAAGTTATTGTCTTGCTGACTATTGACAAAAGCAGGTAGCTAACTCTTAGACTCAGTCTTCCTGAAGTATTCGTGCTGAAGATGGTCAGGGTCTGCTCCTGTAACAACCTATCTATTTCCATTCGTCATCGCATTGTTTATTTCTTCAAATCGCACTTCAAATTACCTAGGCTTCGTCCACATCAACGTTTTCTCCTGGTATGATTTACTATTTTTAGAGTGCCACGACCCTTGAGGTCTGAGGCCTGAGGATGCAATAATCGTGGTGCAGTGCACTACTACAGCAACTTCATTGTACGAGTCCGGGACGCGTTTACCTATGCATCTCAAGTGAACACGCTGTATCATGGGAAGGTTGGCCTTGTGGCGTTATTCTTTCAATTCACTTCCTGTGAATCTTTTATAGATCTACCAGCCCTCTGCAGCACGTAGTATCATATCCCTCGTCAACCTCACATATCAGCAAAAGTATTCACAAACAATGCATAGCATTTCGAAATGTGACCTCATACGCTCTTCCGAGTTATGCAAGTGACCTTCGAAGTTCTAAAAACGAAAGGGATCCATAGGTGCGTGGATCATCGAGTCAGCCTCGGTATAATCAGCTGACATGTACTGTCTCCAGGGCGCTCCGAGGATTTGGCTTGTGTATCAAGTAATTTTCGGGATGTCGCTCAGCGCTTTTGAAGCGGCTGCCATTGTCAAATAGAGGCGCGCTCTCCAAATTTATATTATACGCTAACATCGTAGCCTAAGCAACATATGATTGATGCTCAAAGCATTCCTG